AAGCGTGCTCGACCTCGTCGATCCAACCTGTACTACAGCGCTTGTAGGCGCGATGAGCGTCGTTCCACCTGACTCGAGACGAGTCTCAGGCGTCGTACCGAGCGCGTCGAGACCGTGTCCTGATGTGATCTGCACGGGTGAGTCACGTCGGCGTCAAAGGAGCGACGTGCGACCTGTCAGAGCTTGATCTCCAATCGCAGCTGCCTCTGTGCGTCCTGGGGAGGGACAAAATTGTCGCCGCCGGAGACGACTCGACGCCGCTGAGATTGGAGATCAAGCTCTGACAGGTCGCACGTCGCTCCTTTGACGCCGACGTGACTCACCCGTGCAGATCACATCAGGACACGGTCTCGACGCGCTCGGTACGACGCCTGCGACCCGTCTCGGGTCAGGTGGCACGACGCTCATCGCGCCTACCAGCGCTGCCGTACAGGTTGCCACGACGAGGTCGAGCACGCTTCTATACGCTCGCCGAGCCTTCCTTTCCATCCAATTAGGCAGCCTGGGAACGGTGGCGGTCAGAGGCAAAGCCTACGAGGGGTGGTGGAACCACATGTCACGGCTACTGCCGGCGGCTCGACCCCACGATAGCCTCCGAAGGCTGACTTTGCGGCACCATCATCGGACGATGTCGACGAGTTGGGTCGCTCTCGCGGTAGCCAGATGACCTCTCTTTCTAGGAGCATCGGCCATGGCCGCAGGGAGCGCGGGGGAGGGCGCTGGAAGCAACACGGAGCTCCGTTGGAGACGTTTTCAAGATTAGCGTGTCAGAGTAAAATATGGCACTAGTTCCTCTCTTTCGACACAGAGAGCACAGAGGCGGCTTTACATGTAGCCAAAATACGCGCCAAGCCCAGCACGAGAGCTGTTCGTAGTTTCGAAGCGTGCACAGGGAGCCAGAGGGGTCGAGCACGCTACTGGCGCGGCGTGCGGGGGCGAGCGGGCGCGGCGGGGGGACAGCGGACACAGCACAAGGGGGTCGTGGCTCCTTTAGGGAGGCTCAGGGCCGCCGCGAGCACACTGCCGACCTCAGCCGACCGCCTCCATCGCAGCTGGCGCCTCTGCTGGGGCGGAGGTGGGACCGTCGCGCGTGGAGACGACCTCATCGATGAGCCCAAACTCGCGCGCCTGCTCGGGCGACATGAAGTGGTCCCGCTCCTTTGCCGATGCAATCTCCTCCACCTGCGGGGCCGGAGGCGAACGGGTGCATGCGGGGGCGGGCGGTGGGCCGGCGAGGACACGAGTCACACGCCACTCAATGCGATGCAGCGCAGAGACTAGGGGCACCGCGATCTGCTCGCAGCGGCGGCCTCCGGAGGGATGCAGCGACTCTCTCTTTTGCGTCTCTCCTAAAGGGGCGGCTCGACCGTCCGGCCGCTGTGCGCCGCGTAGAGCCCGACCAGCCTGCGTGCCGGCCGCGCAGAGGGGTGGTGTGAGAGCACGAGATGGGGTGAGAGGCGGGAGGCGGAGCTGCTGAGGAGAGGCTGGGCGGCGCGGAGCTGCTCAAGGGGCAGCTGCGCGGAACCAGAGGTTTGCGTCTGTGCTTTCGGCGGTGGGCACGCCGCCCCTCGAGTCCGGCCAGACGCGCGGCAGACTGCGTGTGGGGGCGCACCGCTGCTCGGGCGTCGGTATCAGCTGCTCTCGGCGCAAGAAGCGCTCGTCTCTCGTCTCTCGATACTCGTCTCTCGATAAGCTGCTCACCTCTCTCGCGTCGCCAGGATCTCTCGAGCGTGGATCTCGATGTCGGTCGCCTGGCCGGAGACGCCGCCCGAAGGCTGGTGGATCATCACGCGCGAGTTTGGCAGCGCCCGCCGCATGCCCGGCGCGCCGGCTGCGAGCAGCAGCGACCCCATCGAGCACGCCTGCCCGACACATAACGTGGCGACCGGCGGCCGCACGAACTGCATGGTGTCGTAGATGGCGAGGCCGGCGGTGACCACGCCGCCGGGCGAGTTGATGTACATGTAGATGGGCTTCTCCACCGACTGGGACTCGAGGTACAGCAGCTGCGCCACCACGACGTTGCTCGTATCGTCATGGATCGGCCCGTTGAGGCAGACGATGCGCTCCTGCAGCAGCCGCGAGAAGATGTCGAAGGCCCGCTCGCCGCGCGGCGTGGACTCGAGCACCATCGGCACCAGGGCCATGCTTCGCCGCGGCGGCCGCCCGCAGAGCGGCGTGCGGCGACAGGCCGCCGACCGTATCGCCCGCATATGTCTACATTTCGAGTTTGGATAAAAAAATTCCCGCGTGTGGTGCTGGGCGGCAGCGGCAACACCAGCACCAGCAGCATCAGCGACCAAGCAGCAGCAGCAAGCATGCGCGAGCACAGCACTCCAAGATGCGCCAGTCTTGGCAAGTCAGCAGCTAATTTTGATCTCGGGCATCCCCGAGGTGTGGGGTGGATGCAAGCGAGACGGAAAGACGGTCACACTGCACACACAGACACACAAAAAGAAAGAAAGAAAGAAAACAGACACGCCAAACGAGGGATGGGACGAGGACAGGGTCCCCACCTGCACGAGCAGGATTTTGGAAGGACGATCAGGGGGACAGGTGGGGCTCTCCTGCTCCTGACAAGGGACACGACAGACACACAGACGCTGCAGCTGCCACTGGAAGAGATTTTTCTTTAAAAGCATGTCCGCGAAGCTTTGAGATCCCCAAAACGCGCTGATTCCGCGGTTCCGATTATAATAACCGCCGGCCCGCTCTACCCCGCGCACGTACTCGTACCAATGCGCGCTGCTGCCCGGGGCGCCTGTCGATCGCTGTCCACCGCTGCGCCGCCTCCGCCCCTGTCGATGGCCGATAAGGTGCGGGCATTTGGCTCCCTCCTCGGAACTGGCTTGGCCAGTGGCGCTCTTGGCGGGCTGGTTGGGCTTGGGGCCCATGGTTCCCCCATTATGGTCCCTGCTCTCAAGTCGATGGCAAAGCACTCGACAGCCACGGCGACGGGCACCGCTGCTGTGGCAGTCGTCTCCACCGGCCTCGCGGGGTGCCTTGGATTTGCGACGGCGGGGAGCTTTGAGCCATCCAAGGGCATGTTTGGGAAGGTGACTCGGACGCTCTCTAGCTGTCTTTGCTCATTTACTTCTGCCACTGGTGCTCGGACCCTCTCCCCAGCCTCGCTTGCCTCACGCCTGCCCGCATGCCCCCCGCCCTTAGATCGAGGTCTTCACCGCCGTGATGACTGGAGTGGGCGCGGCGATCGGCTCGCGCATCGGCACACCCCTCGCTTCCAAGCTGAACCCACAGCTGCTGCAGCGCTCCTTCGGCGTCGTGCAGCTGGTTCTTGCGCCGCTCGTACTGTACAAACCGATCTACGACAAGCGGGTCAAGGAGGAGGCGGAGCAGCGGAAGAAGCTGCTCCGCAAGTCGACCACTGTCATCTCCTGGGGGAAGACATATACCGACGCGTACACCACCGTCGGGCGCTTCGCGGAGGCGGCAGGCAGGTCGCCGCCCATTGGCCTCGCCGCGGGCACCATCTTTGGCGTCCTCGGCGTCGGCGGCGGCGTCGTTATTGCGCCATGCCTCTGCCTCCTCACCAACCTCGACCACGCGACGGTGCTCGGCACCACTCTCGCAGCAATGCTCCCGGCCAGCGCCATGACCGCCCTCTCGCACTGGCGCGCGGGCAGCGTGTGCATGTACAGCGCCGTCCCCCTGGTGCTCGCCACGGCGGCGGGCGGCTACTACGGGTCGAAGCTTGCCGTCGACCTGCCCGAGGAGCAGACAAAGACGCTCTTCGCCGCGACGATCTTTGGACTCGGCGTGCGCCGCCTCATGCTGTAGACGCGGGGCCGCGCCAAACCTCTCACATATGTGTACGGAGAATCACAAGCGCCGAACGTTGGGCGCTGACATTTGGCGAGAGGGGAGTCGCTACGCCTGCAGCGGCAGCGGACAATCTCGTTAACACGGGGACGTCGCCTCTGTGCTCTAGTGCTCTCTCTCTGAGTCGACTAATAAAGACTGGGTACAAAAAGGAGAGACCGCGCGGGTCCCAGCGGCTCTGGCCCTCTAGTCTGGCCCGCGACTCCCACGTCCCAGGGCGCGCGATGCGCGCCGCGGGGCCCGGTCCCGTGCTGGCTCGCCGTGCGCGCGGGGAGAGAGGCGCGGCGCCGCGGGTCTCGGCTCTGCGCGGGGCGCGGCCGGCACCAACTTGATTCGTAGATCGGCGTCTCCCCCTCCCCCTATGGGCCGCCACCCCCCTTCAATCCGTAAATCCGTAAAAATCGCGTAAAAATCGCCCAAATTGAGCGTGCTGCGTGGAAGCGGCTCCAGCCGGTTCGGAGCGTGCCCCAGCTTGCGGGAGGCGATACACGGCGTGAACGAGGACTTTCGGCGACGTCAATTCCGTTGGGCTGGGACACGCGACAAGGGTCTGCTCAACGAACTCGGGATAGCCGACCTCAGTACGTTCGAGGCTTCGCTCTTGCACGATACAGGCGCGGTGCTCGACGCGATCCGAAGCACCGCTGCAGCCGCAGAGGCTGGTGTGGCGGCTTATGCCAGCTCGGCCACGAGCAATGTTGTTGTGTCCCCAAGCAGCGCTGATGTAATCTCCGCGCAGCACAAGGGCAGCTTCTCCCGCACTCTCGTCAGCACAGACGCGCAAACCACGCGAAAGGGCTCGGACATCCATGCAGCTGTGAGTAGTGCGAGTGCTGAGATGCTGCTCCGGCAGGAGTTGGAAGAGAAGTTGCGGTCACAGACCAAGGAGCTCGCTTCTGAGCAGCGCTCTGCGGGCGCTGTGAAGAGGGCGCTCGCGTCGGCGCGGGCTGAGCTTGCTGCGGCACAAGAGCTGAGGCGCTCCGACCGCGACAACCTGAGGACAGCGCAGCAGGCTGCTAAACGCGACATCAAAGCGGCCGAGCGGATGGCCGACGAGGTAAAACACGCAGCTCGAGCTGATTTTGAGTGGCGTATCGGCGAGATGCGTGCCAAGATGCAGGCTGAGCTGCGCGAGCAGCTCGACGCGCTGCAGATTTCGATGGAGGCAGAGGCGAGGCGCGCTGATGCCGCAGCGAGGCGGAGAGGTCAAGGCGCTGCACAACAAGATGGAGGGGATTATGCACACGCGTGAGGGGTTGATAGTCGCACTCGCAGAGGCGCAGCTCGGCAAGCACGAATATAGTGATTGTTAAGAGATATACGTAGCGTTACAGTCGTACGGTCGTTGACCCTCCCACCGTGTGCCCTGGGCCGCCCGGACCCCAGAGCTGCGCACGTGCAGACAGCGTTGCGCGAGCGTTGGAGAGGCCAGCCTCCGGCTTCTCAGCGTGTCGCGAGTGCTGTGTCTCATATCTGCCTGGTGGATGGGTGTGGTCTAGGGGGTGTGGTGGGGGACTCCTGGTGCCGGTGGTGGCTTTTCGTTACAAATTTACGGAATTACGCTTTACGGATTTACGGTATTTTTACGGATCGACCCCCCTCCCTCCCCGTCCCGCGGCCCGGCCGTGAGACGCCGATCTACGAATCAAGTTGGTGCCGGACCGCGAGGTGGCATGAAGGTTGGGTGGTTGCAGCGAGAATCGGGAGATAATTTTTTCGTGTCCAGCGTGCCGGCGGGCGCGAGACGCGGTTTTTTGGGTTTGTCTATTGACGAGACACACGGTGTGGAAAAAGAGGCATTTTTAAACGTGGCGGCGCACGCGCCGGGCGCGCGCCGCCGGCACGCTGCACACGAAAAATTGACAGGTGTACCACCTTCGTAGGTGTGCGTCCGCAACTCGGCAAGTCCTCATGCAGCCCCGTCGCCCGGCGTCCCGGAATCCTCGCCTCCGCTGCCTCCGCTGCCGCCGCCGCCGCCGCTGCCGCCGCCGCTTCCACCACCACTCTCATCATCGCCAGCGCGTCGCTTCTCGAGGATCGGCCGAAGGAGGCGCGAACCCACCGAATAAGCGACGAGCAGAACGAGCCCACCAGTCGGCCGCAGCGCCTCGGACGGCCCGAACGGCGTGCCCGCATCATCTTGCTGCTGCTTCACCGAAACCGTCTTCAGAGGCGGCTCTCCTAGCCATCGTCCGACCGGCGTGTCGCCGAGTGCCAGCGACGTGAGGCCCAGCAGGCCGACGCCAATGAGCCCTCGCGGGTTGGGAACGAGCTCCGACCAGCCTCCACCGGTTGCTTTTTCCACCTCCTTATCACGCTCTTTGTTTTCGTACAGAAGCACCCTCTGGATCCGGCGAGGCGCGCCGACCCGGACCGAGGAGAGGCTCAGGCCGCCAGCGAGAGAGGGCAAGCAGCAGCAGCAGAGGAGGAGTCGCATCGAACACCGCTGAACACCTCTGAGCACAGAAACGAAATAAATAAATATCCGATTTCATGCCACGGAAACCCAAACACAGGCGGCGACGTGGCATACGAGCTCATACGAAAGGAGGCGCACAAGTTCCAAGGACGCACGAGCGAAAAAAAACTTTCTCAACGAGCGAGCTCGCGCGGCGCTAGGCTCGAACGGCGTGCGCGGGCCGGCGGGGTGAGGACCCAGCCTTCGACGAGCGAGCAGTGCGATGCCGAAAGGTCGGAAGCAGCCCGAGCAGCGCAGCGCGAGCAAAGGTGGGATCGGCATCGGCTATGTAGACAAAGCGACCGGCAAGACGACGATGTTAAAGCTCAAGGACAGTTCGCTGCATCGGATTCCAGCGGATGAGGCCCTCGTGATCAGCGCTCCGCCATCACGGCAAGGTGCATTCGCCGGGCTGGGTGAGTGGGGCGGCCGCCATTCACGACCAACCGATGAGGAGCTTAAGGAAGAGGCGATCGATGCGACTGTTGCTTCGATGGAAGCTGCTCACCTCATAGCCGAGGATGTACTCAACGCAGCTAGCGGTAAGCCTTTCGACGTCAGTGAACCATTCCAGGCGTTCGATGTGCTCGGCCATGTCGACATGATTTCCGTTGCTGACCCCCAGCGGCTGGTCGCTACCCTGCACAGCTGTAGATCATGGGCTGAGCTGCGTGGAAAGTTTCGGGACTGGCCGAGGACCCCTCGGCTCTTCAAATTTGCCGACATGACTGAGTCCCAACTGGATGCAATGGGTCGATGGCCAACGCCAGTGACAGCTTCCGGGTACTTGGTCATGCTGTCCAACAGGGAGTATTGGCTCGCATACGGCGTCAAAGCCGACCACCGGGAAGTCGTGATCCATGAGCTCTTTGCCAACATCCGCCCAGAAGCCAGCGACGTGAGAGCCGACAATGCATCACGTCGAATCGCTCTTACGATGCTGCAGGCAGGGGCAGAGGCCGGCGATCTTCACACGCTGCTGACCGTGGGTGCGAGCATCTCACGAGATGCAGCGTTGGCTCGCAAGCGCCCAGACATCCATGCCACTGCTGTTCAGACATACATGCCGCTGCTACTCAGAGCCAGTCACAAGACGGCGGTACAAGACGTATGCTACTTTTCGACCGTCTGTGGCGAGATGTTCGAGATGGCGAGCGAGCGTGGCGTGCCCGGCGCAGCTAGATCTGCCATATTGGCGTACAAGTGAGGTGCTGAATTTGTTTCTCAGCCCAAGGCGTTCGTGGCTAGTGGCTACTACCAATACATGTGGAATAATCTCGGGCTAGCGCTCAAGCGAGCAGGTGAGTTTGACATGGCAGAACGGGCGTACCTCTGGGGAATGGCCGTGCCACGTCCACTCCGCAGGCCAGAGGCAGGCGGTGAAGACATGCTAGCGTCGATCCGGAGCCACCTGGTCAACAATGACAAAGCGCGCTCAAAGACGCCTTCAGAGCAGGCACGTGACGCCGCGTGGGGTATTGGGATGCAGTGCTGGTCGGCCCGGCCTGCAGTCTGCGGCCTATCAGAGTCTTGCGGCCAATGTGCAGCTTGTGGCATAAGCTCTTTCAATGTCCGATCCGTCTGCAAAGGCTGTAGAATGGTGAAGTACTGCGACCAAGATTGCCAAAAGGCCCATTGGCCGCATCACAAAAAGTGGTGCAAAGAGCAACAAAAGAAGATGGCAGCTTCTCGGGCGCTTGCTGATTGAGAGTCAGACGATGGCGTTTGGCGGTCTGTCGTTTTGGCGGTTTGAGGAGAGTGTATTATTCTTCTGTGTAGGATATTGTGGGATGGACCTACGGTGCGGACGATCGGAAGTTATGGTGCTCATTGGTAATCAACTAATCATTTGTTGCGCAGAGCCCGCCCCCAGCTGTACACAAGTCTAGTGTCATATGTCCAAGACGTCGGTGTCGACAAGACTAACGGCTGGAGACGAGACCCAGACCGCGACGAACCGACGAATCTCCGGAATCGCTCGCGATTGAGACAACGTTGTCACGTTCACACACACACACGCGCGCACGCGCGCGCGCGCACGCACGCACGCACACACACACACACACACACACACACACACACACACACACACACACACACACACACACACACACACACACACACACACACACACACACACACACACACACACACACACACACACACACACACACACACACACACACACACACACACACACACACACACACACACACACACACACACACACACACACACACACACACACACACACACACACACACACACACACACACACACACACACACACACACACACACAGGCTCTGGCTGGCTGAGGTCATGATGACCAAACAATAAATAAAAACGGACACCTCTCTACTGTGAGATGGGTAAAAAGGAACAGGTCCCCGCCCTTGCGATCTTTGTGCAGGGTTCTTTGTGGGTGTGGTCGGCGACTAGCCGGGGTCGTCCTCCCGGTGGGGGACTAGCACTAGCCGTCTTCCACATGGTCCCTCGGGTCCCTGCTACTCCTAATCTCTTCGTACATCCTCCTGCTGATCTCCGCAAAGTCCTGCTCCCTCCCTCGTCTCGCCCTGCGCGTCTGCTCCGCCTCACCGTCTTCTGCCCTGCGTCGTCTGGCGACGGGTCCTCCATAGTCGGTCGAGGTCGCCGCCCTCCTCTTGCCTCTTCCCAACGTTCCCTCGGCGGCCGATGCCGTCTGCTCCGGCTCCCCAGTCCCCGGGTCTGCCCTGCTCTCGTCTGCGCTAGTTTCTGCTTCGTCCTCACCGGCGTCTCTCCTCTTCCTTCTCCCCCTTCTTGTATGCTTTGCACATCGCGTGGAGACCGTCTTTTTTTTTCCTTCGCGGCAACGCAATGGCGGCAAGGCCTCTTTGCGCGCCCGCCTCGTCACGCAGAAGACCAACGGGCGTCGGACCGCGGTGAGACCGCGCCGCCCTCCGCGCCCGCCCGCGCCCGCAGCGTGAACACATACGCGCGTCCCTCGCCGCACGGAAACATACGCGCCAGCCGCGCACACAGCCTCACATGCAGCGCAGACCGCATGCCCGCGCCCTGGGCCGCCGACGACCCGGTCGGGCGGGCTGAGCGGCCGCCGCACACCACCAGACAGGCGCACAACCACCCGCAGCGCGCCGCAGCCCACCGCGCAGCCCTGCCAGCCAAGCCTGCGCCTCCCAGCTGCACAAACCGGCGCACAACAGAGCACAGCGCACAGCACACGCCGGCGCGCGCGCAGCACACGCAGACGCGCGCGCGACCGCAACACGCACACGTACACAGCACGCGCGCGTCGCACGCCAGCGCAGCGCCACACACAGAGCACACTTCCCATCAGCAGCAGCAGCCTGCCACAATCCACATCTCACACACGCGCGCGCACGCACACTCCCCACGCCGGCGCACGCATTGGGCGTCGCCGAGAGCTCCCAAAGCTGACTTGTGTGGCTGCTTGTGCTGCCTGCTCATGAGCAGTTAATAAGCTCCGGGGTCG